AGGCCCCCGAGGGGGACTTGGGGACAGGCTGGTCCTGCCGCTCAGTGTTTCCCAGCTCCCTGGACTGCTCTGGTCCGGGCTGTAATGGTTGGAGGGGTCACATCTTGAAGGTTGATGGTGATTTTGGGGGACACAGCTGTTCCCCAGTAAAGGGGCAGCTCAAAGCCAGGAAAGGAGCAAAGGGGTGCTCGGAGAGGTCCCCCCCAGCCATCGGTCACGGGCCCCGGGCTGCCAGCTGCATTTCTCTACGGCAAATTTGCTTTTTCCCCTTCCTTGGCCAAATCTTGGAGTGTGGCCACGTCCGTCATCTCCAGCCGGGCCAGAGCGAGGGAGGAACGCTAAAAGCTGGGCTATGACCCCCCCTCCACCCCCAGGGAAGCGAAAAACCTTGCCAAGTATTCCCTTTCCCCATCCCCAAGGTCATTCCTCGGGCTGGCTTCGCTGTAGGAGCTGTTGCTCCTTGAGCCGAGGGGTTTGAAACCCATCTGGCCGTGGGTGTGTGCCGGCGGCAGCTGGCCTGAAAAATCCCCGGCTGTGGGGTTCAGCTGGGGGGTGTGTAGTCAGAGCCCCTCGGTGTTGGGTTTTGCTGGGGAAAAAAGGATTTGAGCATCATTCCCCTATTGCAGAGCGCCCCGGGCAGCTCCCACTGCCGGCTGGTGGGAGGAGGGTGCTCCCCGAGGTGGGATTTCACCCCATGTCCCCCCTCAAATCCTGACAGGGCTCCATTGTGGTGGGGATCGACTACGACTGCCGGGAGAAGACGATCTATTGGACTGATGTGGCCGGGCGGACCATAAACCGGGCGAGTCTGGAGGCAGGTGCTGAGCCAGAGACCGTCATCAACTCAGGTGTGCTGCCATCACCGGTGACATCTGCCCAAAGCCACCTCGGCCGGGTCCACACCAACCTGTGCCCACAATTCTGGGGCTGTCCTGGTTTGGGGAGGGGGTCTCCCATCCTCACTCACACCCTTTGCCGTTGGGTCAGGTGGTTTGGGGCACTGTGAGTGGTCCAGGAGCAGGATGTCCCCAACCAGTGACCATGGCTCCAACCAGTGACCATGTCTGTCCCTCTGCAGGGCTCATCAGCCCCGAGGGGCTGGCCGTGGACCACCTGCGCAGAGCCATGTTCTGGACCGACAGCGGCCTGGATAAGATCGAGAGAGCCCGGCTGGATGGCTCCGAGAGACGGGTGCTCTTCGACACGGAGCTCGTCAACCCCCGCGCCATCGCCGTCGACCCCGTCCGAGGGTGAGCAGCATTTCTGGAAGGATTTGCACGCAGGGATTTTCGCAAGGTGCACAATTCGGACACGAGCAGTGGTGCCATGGCCCTATCCTGACCCTGGGAGCAGCTCTCCTGTGCCGCACACCCCGTAGGAGGGACTGGCTCTGTTCCCCATCTCCTCCCTTATTCAATAATTCAGGATTTGGCTAAACTTGCTGTTTCAGTGTCAGGATGTCCATGTTTTTTTTAAAAAAAGCTTTGAAACACGCCTGGCGTTTGAAAACACAAGCTGTGCCTCCAGGGTGCTGTTGCGATACAAAATGTGCTGCTCCTCAGACTCACCCTTGTCTAGGAGCTGCAGTTGGGGTCGTAAACATGTTTGACATCATTCTGGTTTTCTTTGAGAGATTTTTTTAAAATCAAATAAAGATTTCAGGCACTGTTAAGGGCAAAACCAGGCTTCTCCCTCCTGCCAACAATCAGTAATGAAGAGAAAGCTGATAATTTCCTACTACCTATTATTGTCCTGTCCTGTTTGTTCATCATATGATTCTTTCCCAAGCAACCTTTACTGGACGGACTGGAATCGTGAAGCACCTAAAATTGAAACTTCCACCGTCAGCGGAGCCAACAGGAGGGTCCTGGTGAACAAGGACATCGGCTTGCCCAATGGCCTGACGTTCGACCCCTTCTCCAAGCTGCTCTGTTGGGCAGACGCAGGTAATTTCACCGAGGACAGATCAGCCTACAACACGTTAAACCTCAAGGGGAAAACCAGCTCCTTCCTTCCACCATCCTGCCCCGCAGGATGCGGTGTGATGGAGGTGGGGGGCTCGCAGCATGAGTTGTTCCTTCTCCATCCTTAGGCTGAGAAGCTATTTCAGAAATTAGTGAATAGAAAGAACATGTTTGGGTGGGGTTTGTTTTGTTTTGGTTTGGTTTTTGTGTGTGTGTGGTTTTGTTGTTGTTGGTTTTGATTTTTTTTTTTAATTTTATTTTTTTTGGTGGCCTGGTAACTGTTCTGTGCTTGAAAAGGAACAAAGCACCTGGAGTGCATATTCCCCGATGGCACGGGGCGGCGTGTCATACAGAACAACCTCAACTACCCCTTCAGCATCATCAGCTACGCCAACCACTTCTACCACACGGACTGGAGACGGTAAGGAAAGAAAAGCCGCTCCTTCCTGCAGCCAGGAATGCTGAGCGAGCAGTTCCTTGGCTCTGCTCCCCTTCTGCCACTCCCTGCAGAGTCGTGCAAGCGAGCGGCTTGGAGCCAGAGGGGGGGAAAACAAACGCTGTCCCCAGGCTGCTCCCTGGTCCCTGAGTCCTGGAACCTCACCAGAGCGCTCTCGTGGGTCTCCTGCAGCGCTACATTCAGCAACAGCCGCTTGTAAATCTCAGTGCAGAGCGGTTGTTTAGGAACAACCCCAGCTTCCTGGGAGGGGACAGAAATAGCGGTGGGCTAGTTTGGTTTATTTTTTGAAATAAAACTTGGCACAAGTTTCTGAGTCTAGATTCTGTCCTCAGTTGTTCCCTCTCCCCCACCGCCCCAGGCCCACAGCATCAGGAACTCGCCTCTAGTCCCACTCCAGCTGGAAGCTCTCAAAACTTCAATCAAATCTTAGCAGATTACAACAAACGCTGAAGTGCTTTGCCATGCTTGGAGGAGACTCTCAGGGAGATCATCTCTCCTTGGAAGGCTGTCTCTGTGACTCCGAAAGAGAAATGCACCAAATTAGCTGGATGTAGATTTTTATGGGGCAAATTTCTTTCCAGTTGATCTGCAGGTGTTCAGACCCATCTTTTTTGGCTGCTTTTGTTCCTAAATGCATGTCAATGGGGAAAAAAATAAATGTTTTCAAAGATGAGTAAAGTACTTCTCCCCCTTTTATCCCCAGGGATGGTGTGATAGCTATCGATAAAGAAACTGGTGCTTTTACCGATGAGTATCTTCCAGAGCAGCGATCACATCTCTACGGAATAACTGCAGTGTATCCCTACTGCCCCGGAGGTAAAACACAACAAAACCCAGCCCCTCGTTCTTGTCTGACAGTTTCTAGGTGCTTGACACACTAAAAATGTCCATTTCTCTCTGCAGCAAGGAAATAGCAGCTGCTATTTTGAGAAACAACGATCTTTGCACCCAAAAGAACTTCAGACCCAGAAAACTGTCACTGCATACAACAAAGAGGGGAAAGCCCTTCACCAAGGCCAATGAAGCGACTTACTTCCCTGCTAAAGATTATGAAGTATTTTTGAAGTGATACCTCAAGTCTTTACTACTGTATTTTTTTTAAAAAGTGGAAAAAAATGGATATATTACCAAAAAATGGCCCTGGGAAGCTAAGGCCATTACTCTAACTCTTGCTTATGCAAGCAAATTTAAAATGTAGCTTTCGTATTCAAATGTTTTATTTTATTGAAAGAAGAATGGATTAATTTTTAAGAGTTTTGACAATCTGACCAACAGGTCCTTTTATCCAAAAAAAAAAAAAAAAAAAAAGTGCCTATGAGGAGCTTTGGATGCAGTATCGTGCTGGGTCTAAGTAATCTCCAGCCCCAAAGACAGAGACTGTGTGTATGGCAAAGACATTGAAGTTTTTCCAGAAGCCAATTCTGTAATTTTCACCACTGCCCCAATGCATGTCTTTTAGTATTTATATTAGAAGAATATGCTAGAAGTGATCTGTTCATGCTTGTTGGGTCTTCTAAGTGCCTTCATAGACCTACCCAGAGTAGACGAAGACATGTTCAGAAATACCATTTACATTGTAACGCTTCACATTTTCTAGGTTACTTCAATAATTGAATAAAATGGTTGGTTTAAGTTTCCCTTTTGGATTTAGTTTTTAAATATTTCAGTCGTAGGGATTGTGGAGAAGCAGCAAGCAAGCCAGGAGCGAGTTGTTCATGTGGCAGGAGCTCGACAAAAGAGGAATCTGCAGAGCCTTTATGTAACACTCCCCTCTCACCACAAAGCCAAACACAATGGAAAAGACAAAGTCATATTTGCCAACTCGGAGATAATCAGAACAATTTGTCTATTTTTCCCCAACTTCCTTTATTTAAAGAAAAAGGATAATTCATGAGAAGTTAGAATTCAATTTCCTGTTTTCTTTCAAAACAGTGAAATAACACCATTTCAAACTGCATGCCAGAGTTGTGCAGAGTTGTATGTGGTTCCTAATTGTACTAAGTACACAAGAGACTAAAAGCTTTTTATCTGCTCATCTCCCGACTTTCCCCAGTCTGTGGTCCGTCTTGGGATCAGCAATAATCGCCTGAACTGCTACGATCGCTTCGTTAATTTTTGTTTGCAGCTCTCGGAGCTCCTCTATATGCAGCAGTCGGAGAATTTGGGCAGCTTCGTTGAGAACAGCATCTGGGTGAGTTGCAGAAAGAGAAGTCAAGTCAAGCATTTTCATCAGATATAGAGGTCTTAAAAAAAAAAACCAATTTAAGTTAATGCTCTGCACTTCATTCATGCTTGTGGTTTTCATACTTGAAATAGGAAACAACTTTCCCTGCGGCTAGAGAGGGACAGGGCGCTCTGCAAAGCCTCGCTCAGCTTCCTGCAGCGCCTGCAGTAATCCACGGCCGAGTCGGGTCGGTACGAAGCATTCTGAGCGCTGATTTAGGTGTACGTGGGGGAAAAGTGAAGCCAGACTAGCAGAGTCCCAGGTCATCTGGCTATTTGTTAAAAATAAATCTATGAGGTCAGGCCAACTTGTGCTGCCTCTGATTTGAGGTAAATTATGCAGCGGCACAGAGGTCCTCTGCTGGTAGAAGCAAGATTTACAAGACAAGGAGATGCATTCCTTCCGCTTGCAAATGTGGCTGCCATTAAAAGCTGCTATTTAAACATTACTCTGAAACAATATCTTCCACAGCTAAGATTTATGTTTTTCTTTTCCAAAATAAAATGCTCAGGAGTGCTCGTAAATAACAAGCTGGGAGGGAGCAATTCTTTCCACTCAGAGGCTTTTTTACTGTACGCATCATCTACATTTTTGACAGTAATAGACTTCGTCAGAGGCAAACGCCACTATTTAAAAGTAACATTAAGAAGACTGCTTACCTCCTGTGTCAAAACCAAGAATGTGCTTTTCTAAAGCAACAGGCAAACCCTTGAAAAAGAAAAAAGCATGTTCAAATGTCATTAGAAATGTCACTTGGCACATTTGGAAAATAAATCAAGTACTACACCAGGTAACTCTGCAGAGAGGACACTTGAGTTTTGCTTGTATAGACACGTGTGACAACTTCAAGAAGTCATCACGCTTGATTAAACAAGTGCCTCTGCGCCCAGAAACATAAAACCCAGAGTATTAATAAAGGAAAAATCTTCATGCTTAATAATCTCCCTGCTTGTCAAGCAAACCCCATTGGATACACACTGCCCACATTCAATCCTTAAAAGGCTAACAGCAGTGCTGCGAGAGCACACCCCATCCAGCAGCATCGCTCCCCAGACAAACAACAAGTGTGCACAAACTGGGCTGTCTTAGAAACTCCTGCCTTGACACAGCTGCCGCTTTTCAAAGCATTGGCTGGGCTGAGAGTTGTAAAAATTCTCTGTGATCGAGTTTCTCAAGCACTGAACTTGCGACCTCCATCAACCTCTCCCCAGAAGCATTTTCTCAAGTGTTAAGCTTAGGAATAAAGCTAAACATTCCGTTTTCTAAACGCTTGCTCTATTGAGGACGGTGCAAGGAAAAGTTTTATTAGTGGTCATTTATGAGCATTGCTCTCTTGCCTTTAGTCTCTCCAGCTGTGGAGGAGAGGCCATGCTAAACAACCACTCACCATGTTTCAACATGCACATAAAATCCAATTAACGCAAATCTTCACTACCTCTGTATTTTTTCAACATTTGCATTGCACAACAAAAACATTTGAGTTCAATACCATTAGTTCCTACAGTGATGAGGTTATAAAACTTGTAAACAGTGGGGATTTCTTTTAAAGGCATGTAAAAAAAAAGAAATCTGAGTTTATCAAAACAACACTAATTAAATACAAAATGCTGACTGGGACTAACTCTAATACCCCATCTTCAAAAAGTGGTTCTTTCCCATGGCCTTTACAGTAAAACAGATGTTCAGCTGCAATCTTAAAAATAATCTGCATTGCTTAAGTTTAAACAGCTTGTTAAGAATGCCACTGCAAGCAGATTCTAGCAATATCAGACCTCATACATGTACTTTTGAAGAAATTGGGTTTATATTTAAGGCTGCAAAGACCTCATTGCCACCTCAGAGCCAGATGAGCAGCAAAACATTCATTCCATCAGTTCTCTGCAGATTAATTCCCCAGGTCCACTGCAGGTGCCTCCGATGCTGAGTGACAACAGTGGCACCGTCAGAGGGGGTCTTTTGAGACCCCCTGGTAGCACAGCATCACTCTCCCTGCCTTCCTCTACCGCCCCGTATGTCAGCTCCCTGCTGGCTGGTGGAAGCTGGCTTTGACGGAGCAGTGGGCTGGCCTGCTACCATACAGACTACTTCATTTCTCAGCCTCATCCCCCCCAAATTCAACTTAAAACTGCTGCACAAAACACTTGCACTGCAGCCATCTCCCCTGTAACTGGAAGCGTCAACAGTAAAACTAGATTAGGAGTGGGAGGAAAAAAAGTTTCCAGATGTCAAAGCAGGGAAAGTGTATCCACTTTGTTGTGCTTTTTAACATGCCCCAGGTATAGCCTTCGGGAGCATCCTTTAAATGATCCTGAAGGGTGCTCAGTGTACTTGATCCTACCTAGGACACACTCACCAGGCAAGGAAAGCCCAGAAGGACAGACTACGAGTCTGTCCGTATAAATCTGAATCCTGTCTAGACACCGAGGACACTGAATTGCCAGCCATTCGAAACAATTTAAAAAAATAAAGTGTCATGTCTTATCTTGAAAACTGTACCTGGATAACCCAACAGGATAAATCTCACGTTGTTAGGTACATTTAAACCACAAGCACAGCAGTCTATGTTTCTTCAGTGTAGTCTTTATACATATCCATCCGCCAGAGAACATTTCTGTATCTATTTTATCTTTTCCCCACTCCAACTTGATATTGCCAAGAACGCAACTCATGACATTTTGTCTATGAAGTCGTCTGCCACGCAGCAGTCAGACATTTATAACCTGTTTCCAGGGACAAGGCTTTATATATAAAGTGTCACTGGGAAGTATTTTGGCCACTAACAAGCCAGCCAAAATCAGAAGCACATTATTTTTCCTCTCCTTCTGTCTTGCGACCCCTCTGCTTTTAAGAGATTTTCTTCATTCATCTGGTATATTATGATGTTGATGATCGCTGCTGGCACAGATAAAGCTGCTTTCCTGCTTCCAACTCCCTCTCTTCCCTCCACCTCACTTGAAATTTAGCATTCCTGATGAGAACACACTCCCAATCACATTCAGTGACACAGTGACAATTCAACCTAAGACCTGACGGCGCTTTGAGGACCTACCCAATCTGAACAATTGTCATTAAAAACAATTCCCTGTTCCTCAAAGAAGCCAGTTCTGCCAAACTCACAGAAAATCCCATTTTGATCCCCACATGTCATCTGCGCAGCTATGGAAACAACAATTAAAGGCAGCTTTTTACTAACATTAGTTATAGAACCTAAAATGCCTACAAAAGTCTCAGCTGCTTCCATATTTTCCTGCTCTTTTAACAGTTTTATGGATGTACAAGACCAAAGCTTTGATTTACTGTTCCAACACTTCTGGCAACAGTTGCAACTGCAACTCAAGAGCACCTGCGATTGCCACTTCATAAATACCATGAGTGGTGTTATGATAATAAATAAAGCGTGGACTGTTCTGAGCAGCTGCCAGAAAAGATGAAGGGACTCGCGCTCTTTGACGGGATGCGGTTCCTTCAGCAGGGACACTTCTAAAGAGACATCTGTGGGGAAAGAGAGGTTGCCTTCCCCAGCTGCGCCCAAGACCCAATGCCAGCAGCTGCTGCGCCAACTGCTGGAGAGAAGAGCAGGAGAACTGGAATGTTTAAGAAATGGCAAATCTGAAAAACCACAGTCATCCCCTGGAACATCCTACAAACAGACAGTTTGTGGTTAGAAAATAATTCTGCAAAAATCTGATGTTTAAATGCAAAAGTTTCCTTCACCGTTTGTCTTTTTGGGGAAGGTGGGGAGGGAGGAGTTCAACGTCCAAATCCCATTCCTCAAACATGTATGAGGTGTACGTACAAAGCAAAACACTCCATACAAGGAATGTTTCAACCTGTTTACGCAGCCAATGTTGCTGATTCCAAGGAAAAGCCAGCTCATACATTCCTTATGATACTGTAGGCTTGCTGTGCTGAAGAGTAGGGGTAACCCTCTACCTAAGGTAGGGGAGCAGCTATTTACACGATACATCATACAGGTACATGTATTTGTATTCAACTGGAACAAAAAAAGAGCTTTGTATACTGCTCTCCATAATCCTCTGGGTCTGTTAGAATCAGGATGGCAAAGATGAAGCAAGTTTCCACCACCCTCCTGAACTAGGTGTTTAAACAGAAGCAATTTTGACCGAGATGGCAGAGATTTACGGCTCCACTTCTTCACTCGATGAGTAATGATTAACACCAGACTCATGCAGTGTATATACAAACCTCCTTGGACTGACTGGCCTTCGCTATGGCATCCTGCGTCAAGCGCTCTTGAACCAAAATGCGAATGGCCTGGGAAAAACATTTAAAGATGAGAGTAATTAATTTCGGTGTTGATGCATTTCTCAGCAATTGCAAGGGAAAGGGAGCCAACATTATAACCTAGCATAACCTCAAACCCACAGTTTTGTGAAAAAAGACTTTTTGGAATGCTCTTTCAGACGTTAAACCTTTTCAAATAGCACTATTCTTTGCCAGTAGCGTCTTACATGAGTGTAATCTCTTGGGCTGGGGGAAGGCAGCTTAACCAGAAGAGATGAGGACATCACATTATTAATTTCAGTCACTACTGGGACAGAAACTGCTGAGTGCTAGCAACAGTCAGAAAACTTGCGATTCCCAGAACGAGCTCATTGTGATCCCAAAGCAGCAGCACCATTTTTATTGTTCCAAGATAATACACCTTTGATGCTGCAGCAATACAGCTTCTTCAGGAAGGAAATGCTGCTATCGGCATCTTTTAGTAGGTGCTGAACCATCTTCCACATACAGAGAATCCTGCAGCAAGGCTACTCACCCAGGTTTTAAAGAGACTGAGAGCAGAAAGGAATTATTTTTAGACACAGGAACAAGACCAGCCTTGATTTTAACAATCCTGCTGCTCATCTGTTTGTACTGGCTCCAGTACATAGCATGAAATCATATCGGAGCTATCAGTCACTGGTACCTCCAGCTGTAAATGCCTCTAAAAATAACGGAAGGAATAGCATGCAGGCAGACTTCCACCAGAAAGAACTGGGTCTGTCAAACACGTTCCTCAGCCTTTCCCTGATGAGTAGCTAAATGTGACAGGAGCAGTCTTAACTGCTTCATGTTTCTTCCCCAAGATTTTTGCTGGTTTTGGTCATGATGAAAGTTGAGAGGCGATACTAGAAAGTTCCCACTGAATAATTACAGAAATCTTTCTAACCAGAAGAGAGCAGCCTGGACAAGAGAGTGATTTCATGAGGAGTTTAAATTCCAGCAGTGAAACCAGACCCTGCATAAGATAATTTAGAGTGCCTTTTGCATTAGGAAAAGGATATCCCACTGTGGTACATAGATGCTTTCTAATCAACTTGCCAAATTTAAATTAATAAAACAGGACTCCAAATATCTCTCTGCTCGGTCTGGCCAGACCAGACGTCTGTGGCATGCTTGCACCCTTTGGCCTTCCCCAAGGATCCATTCTGGAGTGCCCAAGCCTGAACAGGGATCATAATCTCTCTGCATGCACCCTGCAAACCTGCTTACTGGGCTGCAGAATTAAGAGTTTCACTGACACGTTCTGATAGCATCAAGCCTTAAAAACCAGGATTACTGCTGTTCTCGTAACATGAATTGCCATTGCAGGAATCGAGTATAATTAAAAGCAAGAAAATTCATGCAGGTGGTTATGTCCAACCACTTTTGTCTGAAAAAAAGTGAGACTAGAAATGTGGAAATAGTGACAGAAATGTACACACATTATGCAGAAAATACATTCTGCTTTCTCTTTGTTAATACCAAATTAGGTGAACCCAGATAAAGTTTGCTAGCCTCGAGACAATCCTGTAGGAAGACCTGAAGGAACTGTCTGACAAGGGCTGAGCTCGTGCTGGAGATCCTCAACATTGCCATTCCAGGATCTCTTCTCTCTCTACCCGATATCCCTTTTGTTTTTTGTGGGGTTTGGGGTATTTTTTGGGAATGGGTTTGATATAAGAGATCTCCCCTGCTCTACAAAGATTAGTGAAGGGTTCAAAGACCATTTTGGAGAAAGCAAAGAAGGATACCACAGTGGGGAGAATGAGAAAGTGGTTGATGGGATAACTACAGGCTGTCATTTCCTTAAGAAACCCACTAGTGTGATAATACTGTTTAAGCATACCTGTTACAGACTTACACACACTATGTAAACTTCAATACACATGGCATTCCGTTTCTCCAAAATAAATTCAACAAATATCACAGCTTCTGTAATTAATGAACCTTCTTGGTTTTTTCAGTGAAATGAGTTTATTTTGGTGCCAAACAAAACTAAGCTTTTTTCCATATTATGACATGATCAAGGAGGAACTCGGGATTGCTACAGTCTCAAATAATTCAAAAATACAGCACAGGTTGGACACGAAACTTAGAGATAACTATGGAGGGCCACAACTAAGTCACACATTTGCTCAGTCATAAAAAAAGATGCTTTAGAAAATTAGCAAATTTACTGCATTTAAAAGTCATGATTAGTTGTCATGACTAAATTAACCTGACTTCAGTAATGACAAGGAGTGAACAGTTTCATAGGACCAAGAGTCAGGAGGAGGTAGCTTTTCACTGCTGCTCCTCCCTAGGTTGGTTGTTTTAAAACATCCTTTGCATCACTAAGCCTCTATGTTTTCAAGTTTCTCTTAATTTCCAGCACTGGAATACCATCTTCTCCTTTGTGTGTGTTCCTGAGTATTTCTGAGGTTCATTAAATCACATAAAGCAATACTTCAGCTAACCTAGAGCACTTCAAACTCTAAAAAACAGTTCTCAGGGTTGGAATTCCAGGAACTCAGCTACAATTGAACTGTTTTATCAACTTAATTATCCCTGCATTAATTCACACGATTTATATTCCATGTTCTTGCCTGCTGGAAAACGCAGGGTGAGTTTTACTTTGTTCATAAAAAGACATAATTATCAGTAACTGTGCACCGGCAAGTACTACACATACCAGCCACTGGGGAAAAGAAGGAAGAAAGGAGGTCTGAAAACTGTGAAACTCACCTTGAGCATTACCAAGTAATCATCATGTCGCTGGATTTGAAGCAGATTAGTTAAAGCCATCACTCCAGCCTTGAAATCAGGATTATTCACTGTAAAAAAAAAAAAAAAAAAAAATCACAATTAAAAATATATGTTAGTTTAAGTGGCTCCAAAAGGCAGAATTAGCCTCCTGACTCCACAGTACCAGACTGCTCTTAAGTAGGGGGACGGCTGGGGATGCACAGCAGCGAGCAACCGCTGAAGTCTGGCTATGAAGCAATCAAAGTGTGCACCAGGCTTTGTAACCAGGTAGCAGAACACCATTCAAGCACAAACAGCATTGCTTTTGATGCCAAAAGCATCACATATGTCCTACTGCACTCTCTTTTATAAACTTATCTCTGCAGAGCAGAGCTGTGCCTGCTGGGTGAGGGCAGGAACAAATTCTAGCTGTCTTTTTGTAGGAGCAATGAGAGAAGACTTGGAGGATTTAGGGGTTATTTTGGCAGCTATTTTCCACCACTTCCATTTATTGTGAATGTGCCTGGTAGTCAAAAAAATTACAATGATTATGAGAGGTACAGCTGGGGAAGACCGAGCCAACACGCAATATGTGACAGCATTGAAGTAAACAGTGTGCCATCATGTTTCCTTTGCATTTTTTTTTTTTAAAGATACATTAGAGTCTATAGTTAAAAGATATCTTGTTCCACACTAAGTACTCACATTTTTTAGAGCTCTCCGCAAGGCTGTTAAGGTAAATACCCTTCAGCTGCTTTCTTACTGCCTGATCAGAGCCCTCCCAACTTATTCATATCTGATCAGGACTCTGGGCACCTCGTTCTTCTGGGGAAGATTCTCCCCCCTGTCCTTCCCCAACAGGACAAGCTCTGCATCAGCGCACATCCAGATGGGATTCACACAGAGCAGTTCCTCCTTCCTTTAAATGCAGACAAGTGCAAACAACTCAAAGTAACTCCCAAAACACTGTTCACAGAGAGGCAGCTGGAGCCAGCAGTGAAAAAATATATAAACCCAGCATTCCTAAAGCTTTAAACGGGGCTTTAAAAAGTTATATATCACAGTACTGTAACAATTTAAAACCCAAAGAACATCACACAGGCCATGGAACACATTCACGTACGATGCACCCACACAGTAGGTTGCTGCACACTTACCGTCCAAGTTAATCAGCGGTTCTGCATTTTTTGCTGTATTGTCGGTATTTTTGGCACCATCAGGGGTAGAATCCTTATACTTATCAGCTGTTAAATTAAGAAACAAATATGAACAACACTAGAGCTAATGATAAAAATAACTAGTTAAAAGTATAGAGCAAAGCTGAGCTTGTTATAGGTGTATTTTTGGGGTATGGTAATTGCCCAAGAGCCTTCTGGGCTTATCTGCTGACATTTTAGAGCTCCCCTCTAATGTCCCCCAAGCCCACCGCTCTACTGAGCCACCCTAACAGCTCCCATCTGCACAGAGCTCATGTGAAATCCCAGAGCAGCATCGGAGCATGCTCCACACTTATGTAGGGCGTTACACTCTTGATTAAGGCTCTTCCAACAGTCTTCATCCCAGAAGGCTGAACAAGCTGCACCGTGCAGTTCTACCACTTCTTAAATCCATCAGTTCAGCGAGCTTGGCTCTCTGCCTCGATCAGCAGTGTATGTTGGGCTCTAGAACTACAGATCTGAGCAGCCAGTAAAACATTTCCAGTGAAGACACTGCCTTACAGACTCTGCAGCATTCATCTAAACCCACACAGGGGTTTTTCAAGCCTTTTGAGGATGGGACCTCCTGGCTCCTCCATCCTCAGGCACCCCTGAGTCACAGGAACCCTGTTCTCCGTCACGAGGGACTGAGAACCAACCCTAAAGATTCCAAATATTTATATCTCATCCTTGGGCAGAGCTCAGCCCTGCAGGGATCAAAAGTAATGGAAAAAGAACAGTACTTTGGCTATTATTACGTCTGCGTCCAGTAATTCCATTTGTATCTGCACCCCCACTATAAGGAAATGAAACTGCTGCTGACTGTTGAGATTTAACTCAACTTTTTCATAACCTTGCCCTAGTTCTCAAGGGTTCCGGATCTACTCCTTGTAAAACAAGGGGCTAAGAATAACTTATTTGAATAACCGTAGTCCTAAAGAAAATGCATTTAATACACTTTAGAGTAAGTTCTCGTAAAAGCGATCCCCCAGAGAGAAGGATATAAATATATACAATGGGTTTTGCCATATCCAGAAATAATAAGTGCAAGTATGCTACCGCACTGTCCCATGGGAGCTGAAGAGAAACAGTTCACATCTGAATATGGTGCAAAAACCAAGCAGACTAAATTACATATATTTTTTAATAAGACAATATAAACTTTTGATATTGTCTTAATTTTACGAATGCTTCATAAAATTAAACAGAAAAAAACACATTTCCGCACCATTCTGAAACATTAAATAAATTCACCCATACCATTATCTCCATACTCCAGCCTAACCGCTAAGCCGAGCAGCCAGTCCACTGTTTCTTGTCGTTCTTGTATTTTGAAAGGACAGTTGACATCTTTCATATACTGAGGAGAAAAAAGAGGAGAAAACAAATAGATGTTATTGACCTGTGTGAATTAGCTGGAAGCACAGAACTGTTCTGTAAAGTCACTTTCCCCACAGACCTTAGAGTTTTAGAAGACAGTTATTAACAAGCAGCACCGTTTTGAAATGTCCTGCTGCTGCATCTGATCCATTGAGGCATTTTGGAGCGCTAACTCCAGTCTGCCGTTCAGTAACAGCACCTGCCTCTTCATGGACCTTATTCATTGCCAGGCTGCAACCACAGAAACCAAAGCACCCCTTTTCTTTGCTCTCTGTTCATTTTATACAAATGGAAAGGACAGGAAACAAATTACAGCAAAACTTCCCATCTAAAGCAGGAAGGAGGAATGATGCTACCTAAGGCTTTCACAGTGCTGATATCAGAGGGGTCTGAGGAGCAATAACTTTCCCTTTCTTAGGGATTTTGTAGAACAAGAGAGTACAAAATGTGGCTGAGCCTGTACAAACCTCATGAAGTTCAACAAAGCCAAGTGCAAGGTCCTACACACAGGTTGGGGCAATCCCCAGCACAAACACAGGCTGGGAGGAGATGTGACTGAGAGCAGCCCTGAGGAGAAGGACTTGGGGGTGCTGGGTGATGAGAAGCTCAACATGACCCAGCAACATGAGCTGGCAGCCCAGAAATCCCCCGTGTCCTGGGGACATCCCCAGCAGCGTGAGCAGCAGGGCGAGGGAGGGGGTTGTCCCCCTCTGCTCCGCTCTGGTGAGACCCCCCCTGGGGTGCTGCACCCAGCTCTGGGGTCCTCAGCACAGGACAGACACGGAGCTGCTGGAGCGGGGCCAGAGGAGCCACGGAGATGGTCTGAGGCTGGAGCAGCTCCCGGGCCAGGACAGGCTGACAGAGTTGGGGCAGGGAGCAAGGCAAACAGTTCCAGTGGGGGGAAAAAAAAAGCTGAACATGCACTAAGCATTAGAGCAGCATTTTCAGCTCCTCACAGGGGTGTTTGCAGAGAAAGGAAATGGGAATCATAAGGGAAAGCTCAACGGCCCTGTGATGACTCAAAATGCTCATGAGCACACAGGAGATCACCCACAAAACCATGGCTGCTTGCCATGCTTTGCGCTCACAGTGGAAAATCATCTATCTGGCATAACAAGAGGTGCAAAGACGAGCTGCAGGAGCTTTCTTCCACACACTTTCAAAGCCTACGAGTGCATTAGCCTAATCCATTTTCCATTTGGTGCGTTAAGAACCATTAATGCAGAAAAAGCTGTTTATTTGCAGTCTATTTTCTTTCTACTTCAAGAGCTGAATCAAATCAGGCAAGAAACAGTTTAGGATGGATACCACCGACTGCAAAAACACAGCTGATTGAAAACTGCATAGAAAAAGTTCTACTGTCTTAATAACTCCTACAGTTTGGCTTCAACAATACATGGAAATTCCTAGAAAGGTAAAAGTTCAGAGACAGGACAAATATTCAGAGTCATTTAGATTCAACAACTACAGAAGCCACTAATTGTCATTTACACAAGACATCTTTGTAATTTGAAAATGTGTCTGAAACAACAAAATACCTTTTCAAATGATTTGGGCCAGTCATCACTGTGTATGTTCCTTAAATTCCCTCGGTCTTCAATCTTGTAATGTCTGATCTTCTGATCTTCGAGCCAGACAATAAAATTTCTGAATTCTGTTTCATCTGACAGGAAAAGTAAACAAAGTAAGAAATAACCAATACCTTAAGAGTAAAAACAAGCCCTTAAGTTTTGATCCAATTCACACAAATAGCGGTGCCTCCGAGCGCTTTCATATCTTACCATAAGGAAAGATACATCTGACACTAAGATAACATATTCCAGGATAACCTCTGACCAAAACTCAGAGTGTTTTTCATTTTTCACATCACTTTGAATTGGCACAGCTGACTGACTACACTAAAAGGCACCAGCCAACAGATTGTTTTTATCAGGAATATAGTTATGACTTAAATGAAGGAAAGGTGAGACAATGACAGAGAAATTCACACCTAGCCCTGTTATCCGGACAAACATGTTACATGGAGCAGTAACCCCCTGCTTCTTCCAAAGAGCAACACACAAAACTCGTGACTGTGCAAAGACATTTTCTTCCTTCGCAGTTGACTCAACTTTTCTTGGTTGTTAACCCAACATCTTATTATTCGGGAGCTGGAACTCCACAGTACAAAGATATTTTACTGGATGAAGCAATTAGCCTGCAGCTGCACTTCAGTGACAGAATTCACTTCTGGACACAACGGATCACAGCTCCAGGGTATCACCTGCCCCTCAAAAAACAGCTGTGACATTTTGGCTTTGGATGAGCTTTAATATCCTGAGTTAACGAGCTTAACATCCTCCTGCACCTCAGCCTGGGGTAAGCACACTATTTTCCCCATCAGGGACAAGAATGATAAATCTGCTTCTCAAAAGTATCTTCTAAGCGACATAAGTGCTTACTGTGTCATAAGAAACAGAGATGTGGGCACAACACAGGTCAATAAGACCTGTTAAAACTTCCACATTGACAAAACAAACCTTTAAACACAAAAGGAATGTTAACTAGAAGGAACTGAAGGTCCACAACAAAAGAAGATGCCAGTAGACAACGCCTCTTGAAAGAGATTGGAATCTGCCAGAAGCACTCAGAAGCACTGAAGGAGAAAAAACCTACTAAAAACATGACCTGAAGCGTATAATTGATCACACTGGAGAAATTAATTTGTCACAGGGCCCTTCCAAGCAAGAAAAAAGGTTGAGTGTTGCAAAAAATCAGACATCAAAGTATTGAGATGTATGGGTATGTAAGAAAATAGCTGTAAAGATATAAAATAGCTACTCTGACCCACCACACTGCCTCTGCCTGGCCTCGAAGACAGAACACACCAGGCTCCAGGGCTGAGGGCAGGTTAACACAGCCCCTGAGGGGGTTTTCTGGAGGTCCCTCGTGTCACACAAGCCAAGACCCTTTGCAGGAGAAGGCCAAGAAAAGCAGCAGCAGCATTGCCTCCCCTGGATCACGCCTCTGCTTTTGCTCCGCTCCTGAACAACACCCAAAACCCCACCGACACCGACCCCACCCCCTGCAACGCCTGGGGGTCCCCGATTTCCCCTCAGAAACTCACAATTTTTCCTCAATCCCGCGCTGCAGCCCAAACCTGGAGCCCAGAGAGCTGCACGAACACCTAGAGCCCAAGAGACCCTCCCACCGTGACCTTCCTGGGGACCGTGTCCTG